ACAAGGTGAAGCTGAATGGTGGGGAGGGGGGAAGGGGGGGGGGAGGAGGAGGGGAGGCTGAGGCAGGCTGAGGCCGAGGCAGGCTGAGGCCGAGGCAGGCTGAGGCTGAGGCTGAAGCAAGCCGAGGCAGGCTGAGGCTGAGGCTGAGGCTGAGGCTGAGGCTGAGGCTGAGGCTGAGGCAGGCTGAGGCTGAGGCAGGCTGAGGCTGAGGCTGACGCAGGCTGAGGCCGAGGCAGACTGAGGCTGAGGCTGAGGCAGGCTGAGGCTGAGGCCGAGGGAGGCTGAGGCTGAGGCTGAGGCAAGCCGAGGCAGGCTGAGGCTGAGGCTGAAACTGAAGCAGGTTGAGGCATCCGTAGGAATCCATAGGAATCCTTAGGAATCCCTTGGAATCCATAGGAATCCGTAGGCATCCTTAGGAATCCGTAGGCATAGTTAAGTCAGGAATCCTTAGGAATCCTTCGAATTTCTCCGGAATCTTTAGGAATCCCTCGGAATCAAGATTCCTAAGGATTCCCAAGGGCTAAGGATTCCAATGGATTCCTAAGGCTGCCTAAGGATGCCTTAGGAATCCCTAGGAATCCTTAGGATTCCATTGGATCCTAAGGCCGTTGCCACTGCGACTGTCATTGCGAATGCGACTGCGACTGCGAGAACAGCCGAATTCTACAACTGGATTCTCACCTGAATCTTAAGGGGAATGCTTCTATGCTTATACACATCGCTGTTAGGTTGCTTTGCCGGGATAATTCTTTTGAAAATACTGAATTTCTGCTTCCGGCGCCCGGGAGGCCTCCCAGGCCGATTCCGACGTCTAGCGCCCGAGCCGGCGCCCGGGTCAGACGCCCGAGCCGGCGCCCGGGCAGGCACCCGGGCCGGGTCCGGAGCCGGTTCCGGCCGGCGCCAGAAAATCGAGTGCCGAGGCGGCGCCGAAAAAAGGCCATTCCAATACAAATTTTTCTGAAAATGTAGAATTTCTGCTTCCGGCGCCCAGGAGGCCTCCCGGGCCGATTCCGGCGTGCTTCCGCTCGTTCCGAATCGTGCTCCCGCTGCAGCGCTGGCCTCATTTCCGCGCTTCCGCTCGTTTCGACTCGTGCTCCCGCTGCAGCGCTGGCGTCATTTCCCGCGCCATGCCACGGCATGCAATGCAATGCTAGGTTGATACTACGCTTCGCGGTGCTCTTCTACGCCATGCCATCGCGTACCCTTTCGGGATCATTGCCCTGCTCGACATCCGACTGTGCGAGTAGAGAGGGGATCTGCGCCATGGTAAGGGATGGGAGGGAGGGGTAGGATGTCAGATATGACGCGAGCGCACCTAGCTTGTCCGTGTACCCCTCCCCGCTACCCCCTCCCCTGGACCTGGACGGGCGGTGCCGCGACCCATTGGAGCGTCCAAAACGGCCTCGGCGAGGAAGCCAAAATCATTGGTTTTACTTCGAGTTTGGGCCCCATTTTGGCCTCTCGGGGGGGGGGGCGCTGATTGGAGCTCCCCTCTTGTTTGATCGATGGCCTCCAAGATGGCCCGAAGAGCGCCCCTAAAGCTTCCAAGAGCGCCCCAAGAAGGCCCCAAGAGGCGCCCAGACGGCCCCAAGAGGCCTCCAAGAGGCTCCCCAGAGACCCCCAAGGAGGAGGAGGAGGAGGAGGAGGAGGAGGAGGAGGAGGAGGAGGAGGAGGAGGAGGAGTGAGGAGGAGGAGGAGGAAGAGCAGGAAGTTTCGCTTGCCTGTACACGCGGCAGACGGCTCAGGCAGCCAACCACGCGCCGCCAGCAGTGCCCACGGCCGCGAAGACCCCGCCGCCGGTGCCGGCTGCGACGCCCGTGGCAGGGCACGTCCAACCCAACGTGGAGGAAGCTTCGCGGGCCCTGCGGATGCCCCGCTGGGCCCCCCGTGCTCGCGGAGAACTGTGGAACGCGAAGGCGGCTCTTTCGCGAGGCTGGTTGAGCAGAAAGACTTGTACAGTCGGGGCGTTGACTTAAGGAACCCTAAATAAGGAACGAGGCCTCTGTTTTCCACGCGTCGAACTTCGATTTCCCATCGAAAACCAAAGGAAAACCTGAGACAAGCTGCGAAACACTTAAGGAACGCGGAGCCCCTCCCCAACGAAAAGGGTTCCTTCTTCAGGGGCCCGACTGTACAGCACATTCTGAGACCGTTTGGGCATGTGGCGCGTCTGGAAGTTGTCTGGGAGGACAAGCAATCCGCTCCAGAGGAGAGACGAGCCCTTGTGGACGACGTCGTGGACTGCAAGGGCGGCCAGGTCCCTGAAAAGTATACACGGGCTGCAAGAAGGTGAAAGAGGACGTGAAAGAGGAGACGGGGGCAAGAGAATGGGTGATATTCCAAGCCGCTGCTTCGCAACACGGCGAGGAGATCATCCTCGAACACCTCGAGCACGGAACGATGACCAGTCGCCCTGATCCGCGGCTGCCCCCGAGCTCGATGGCGAAGTACCCGTGCGACCTCGAAGTCGCTTGCATCGCGGAGACCTGGGCAACAACGACGAGGCTCACGGACCGCGCCGAGGGCGGCAGCAAGCAGGAGACGTCCGAAGCAGGCGCGGCGGAGCTCGAGAACGGCTTCATCGGGAGCGGCCAAGAGGGGGGTGTCCAAGAGGGGGGGGTGCAAATCATGACCCGCGGCATGTGCGCGGCCCAGCGGAGGGGCCAGGGACGTATTGGAACAAGAAGAGGCGCCATGAAGCCTGAGGAAATATCATGGCCCCCGCCATGATATCCACCCCGCCTAGTCATCACCCCCCTCTTTGCCGCCCCCGACGGCTTCAAGGAGCAGCGGGCCTCCACTGGCCGCCCGGGACCAGGCGCCGAGGGCGACGGTCGGCAACGGCAGCGGCGGCCGCGGCGGCGGCTCGCCCCCGCCGCCTTTGAACCCGAACGCCGAGAGGGGCCGGGGGAGGAGGAGGAGGAGGAGGAGGAGGAGGAGGAGGAGGAGAGGAGGAGGAGGAGGAGGAGGAGGAGGAGGAGGAGGAGGAGGACCAGTGTCTAGCGGAGTGGACCCCCAAGAACTCCCCATGATGGCCCAAGTGCCCGAAGAGGGGCCGAAGAGAGGGAACTGGAGCTGACATTTCAAGTCCTCTGCCCCGAGGTGACCACCGAGGCGGCCAACAGGCCCCCACGACGTGCCCAAGAGGCCCCCGAGGGGCGCTAAAAAGCTCTCCGGGGGTGTAAAAAAAGCCGAAAAAGGCCGGCGCAAAGTCCCAAAAAGTCCAAAACGGCTTCCAAAGGGCCTCCAGGAGGCATCCCAAGAGACCCATACACGCATCCAAGAAGCCTCTGACCCGCAACGCAGGCGCGGTCGCGGGATGGGCCTGGCGGCAACTCGGGAAAAAAAGGGGAAGTGCTGCTTTTCTTCTTCTTCTTATTATTATTCTTCTTCTTCTTGATCTTCTTCTTCTTCTTCTTCTTCTTCTTTCAAGTTGCCCCAAACTCGTTACAGCAAGGCTGCCAGATAGCCCAGGATGCTCTGAAGTGGGCCCAAGAGGGTCCCCAAGGCCGCGCCAGAGAGCCCGGCATGCCCGCTGGAGCCACGCCGGAGGGCCGAGGTCACGGAGGCCTCTGGAGGCCCAGCAGAAGGCCAAGGGCGCCCCCTCAAAATCGTCCCTCGATTCTCCTGCTCATTCTCCTCCTCCTCCTCCTCCTCCTCCTCCTCTTCCTCCTCTTCCTCCTCCTCCTCCTCCTCGGCTCCCGCGCCCATCCATCCTCGTTCTCCGACCCCACATCTGAGGAGTAAAACTCTATACGCCGACGCTTCTTCCGGCCCTGCATCGGAGTTTGCACTGGGGGGCGGGTCCTGGTGTATACGGGACCCTGGTGTGTACGTTTTTCGTCGCTTCCTCGGGACATCGGAGAAAAAATATACACCACACCACCCCAACGTCGCCCTCGACCCTCACGAAGTCCTGGGACTTAAAAACAGTCGGCCGCTGGTAATGTATATGTTCCAATTTCCGAACGTCCGTTCCAACAAGGAGAATCAATATGTGGAACGGAAGATGGAAGAAGACGGAGAGCAGGACAGAGATCGGGGGGAACGGGCAGCAAGGGATGGGGGAGACGGAAGCGCATCCTGGGGCACGTCAGCGCCAGGCACAAGAGAAAACGGAGGGGGCCGAACTTGAACAAAAAAGATGCGTGGGAACGCTGTTGGCTTTTCCTTTCTCAGGTTGGGCCTACTACCACTCAGTGAGGCAGGAAGCGGTGCGAGGGAGTCGGGGGAAGCAGAGAAAGAGGGATGAAGGGAGGATGGAAAAGGATGCAGCGGGGAAGAGTGAGGAGGAGGAGGATTCGCTGAGGATTCGCTCGCGACGGATAGTCGAATCGGCCGAAGGCGAGGCGAGTACGCTCGAAAACGGAAGTGCCCTTCATCCCAGGCCTGCCCTGGGCAATCTGAGGCCTCAGAAATACTGATTCGTGGTGGGGTGTCTGCCCTGCCACAAACGGTTCAAATGCCCAGCAAGGACCCGAGGAGTTCCCCCTGGACCGCTGGTCCTCAGACCCCATCCATCGGCTTGTGGCGTACCTTGCGCACTTCCGACAGAATACTACCGCTTGAAGGCGCGCCGTCTGGTGGCCTTCGGCTTGGGCCCGCTGGATCAACACTCCGAGCCCCGCGGGAGGCCAAGGAGGGGGGTCCACAGGGCCCTGTGAGGGCGGTGGAGTGCCAGCTGGGCTCTCCACTCCCTCACTGGGCGTCGGGGCTGGGGCGGGGCTACCCTGGGCTCCAGAGGGCCCAGGGCCCTCGGAGGTGACCTCGCGCCCGTGGCCGAGAACCCCGACGTGCGCGGCGAATTCCAGAAAATCAGACCAACTGGAACCTCTGGACATACGTGGTTCTGTACCAGGCCTCGTGTTGGTGCGCTTGCGCCCCACGCTTTGCGTCGGCGTCAGCTGTTTTATTCCTTATGAACTTCTGGGGCCCTATCATGGCTCTTTGGGCCCTAGTGGCGTGGGCTCGGACTTTACAAAGGCTTATCCCTTGCTCACCTGTCCCGCCGTTTTCCTGCACGAGCCGCCAGCATTCCTGCCCGACCTCTTTGTGGGTCGTGTCAGCTCTGGCGGCCCGCTCGGGGCCTCTGGCGTCGCCGTCGATCACAGACTGGCGGTCGCTGTAGACCCGCACTGGGGGCGCCGCCCTCCTCAGGGCCTGGAGGGCCGCTGCCAGCTCGCTCTTGTAGATCGCCCGGTCGTGCTGCGATCCCTCCAGTGGCCCGAACCGCTCAAACTCCATCATGCGCTCGCTGTCGAGCTTCACGACGCCCCAGCCGTCTGTGTAGATGTCCCCGTGCATGAGGCCGTCGAACGCGCCCTCCACCTCGCATGTGGATGAGGAGGGCAGGCTCCAGAGGTCATGCTCCAGCACTGGGTCCGCTGCGAGCACTCTGCCCCAGAGCGCCTCGGAGGTCGCGCGCTGCTTCTCCGTCGCTCCAGGCCACGTCATGACACCGCGCTGGCATATGTGGTGCCCTCCCACTCGTCGTCGGTGATCCTGCCTGGCTGAGCACGCGAACGTCCTGTGGCGGTCCGTCCCTTCGTGCTCGTGGCAGGCCTTGCCTATGCTGCCCTCTGCGGCACCCTTGTCGAAGAGCCGCCGCTGCGGCCAGGTTCCGCCGCACCACAGGTTGTGCACCCGTGTCTGGTGCTCCATGGTCCACTTCTTGTTCAGCGGCCTCTTGAGCAGCGCGGCGACGGGCTCCCCGACGATGCTGTCCAGGCCGTGCTTCTCGCCGTGTATGCGCAGCCAGTCGCTCATGAGGCCGTTCTCCGTTGCCGTGCTGATGCGCTGCCTCAGGTGTCTGAGCGGCAGCGTCCTGAGGTCTGAGTGCTCGCCGCCGATGGTGATGCTGTGGGTCGCGAGCGTCTTCCAGCCCAGCCCCTGCACCGTGGCGATGAAGGGCCCTGCGGGCCCTCGCACCTTCTGCCGTGGGGCTCTGGCTCGCCCCACACGCATTACCCGCTTCTTCCAGGCACCCTGGAACTGCGCCTGGAGGCCGTCCTGGTTGGCTACCTCCTGCCACGCCATGGCCCATTTGACCAGTGGCTCCGTGTTGGCGCGGATGGCGGGGTCGGCGCCCTGCTCGAGCAGCGTGAGCGGCGACGATCTCCCCATGGCGTTACCCCTGACTGAGGTCGCCACGCTCTGCCGCAGGGTCGCCAGGGTGGAGTAGGGCATGCCCCCGTACATCGCCGACGGCACCTTCCCCTGTCTGATGGAAGCCTGCGCAGGTCCCCCTGCTGCGTACTTGCTGGCCCTCTTGCTGAGGGCGCTGACTCGTCTCCTCCTGCCGGCCGCGGTGGTGGCACCGAGGTGGTCGGCGTGCCTCGCCGCCCTGATGCCGAGCGGGTGCACTCTCTTGGCGAGGCCGTCGTGCAGCGCGGTGGTCGAGGCCATGGTGACCGTCTTGCCCGCCGCGCCCTCTGCTCCTCGCTCTCCGTGCGTGGTGACCCGCTGCCGCCATTGCGCTGCGGCCGCTCCGTGCACCACCTTCCAGCGCCTCCTGCTGGCGGGGTCCAGCAGCGTGGCAATGCGGCCCAGGTAGTTCTGGGCGCACTCGTCGATGTCTGTGATTCGCCAGTCTCGCAACGTGTGTGCGATGAGCGGCCAGCGAGTAGTATTCCGAGTATTGGGGACCTGCTGGCCCTCGGTGGGAGGCGCTCTGACCGCGAAGCGATCCTGTGCCCCTTCCGCCTCCTCCCGAGGGGCGTCCTCAGACTCCAGCAGCCCGTCCTCCTCGTCCGTGTCGTAGCCTGCCTCGACCGTCTGCCCATGCGCCCGCTCCGCGAACAGTGGCGTGACGATGTCGTGGCTGAGTATCTGCTCCTGTGCCGCGATGCAGGGCATGGGCCTGCGCGGCTTCTGCTTGTAGTTGGCTTTCTCGAAGTGGCCCTGTCGCTTGCTCCAGTCGTCGCCCTCGTAGCTGTGGTACCTGTTGAGGTGCTTCTCGTAGGCCTCGCCGAGCTCGCTCCAGTGACCGTCGATCTGGCTCAGAGTGCACTTCCTGTGTGCGAGCGGCCTTGGCCATCGCACTGGCTGCGAGGGGCAGCCCATTGGCCGCGTCGGCCATGTCGCCCGCTTGCACAACACGTTCATCATGTAGTCGCTCTGCTGGTGCACTGGGACCCTCATCCTGACGGGCAAGTGCGGCGACATGTTGTATCCTTGGACCTCTACCTTGAGCGCGTGTGCAGCCAAGCCGCGCGAGGCGCTGCAGTAGTCACGCGTGCTCCTCGTGCCATCCTGCTTCAGGCAGCTGCCCTGCTGAATGTCTCGCACGATGACGCCGCTCATCTTGCGGACGATCTCGGGCTGCTCCAGCCGCTCTGGGTCCATGTTGAAGTCGCCATCGAGGATCCACTCCTTCTGGATCGCATTCATGGCGGCGCCCCACTTGGCCAGAATACGCTGGTTTCTCTGCGTGAGGCCCTCGCTGTTCCACAGGTGCGCGGTACCTAGCATGAACCCCTCCTTGCTGTAGTCGTCGGCCCAGGCCACGGCGAGTCTCCCCTTGGACTCTCGCGGGCTGAAGCCCCACTGGTTGATCCCCTTGCGCGCGAAGTCCATGCCCCTACTCCGTGGCGTCGCTATCAAAACTCCAGCGCTGCGACCAGCTGTGGTCTTCGCGCTGCTCACTACTCCGATGCCCCAGCCCTCTCTGCGCGCGCGGGCCTGGATGAGGTCGAGCTGCGTGCCGCTGGCCTGCAGCTCCTGGCCCAAGACGACGTCCTAGTCGCTGTCCCTGATCTGCTTCATCCCTGGTTCCAGCGACCTCACCGTGTTGGCGTTGACCGTGTGCACGGCGAGTCGCCCCTGCGGGCCGCGGCGGTTGGCGCCGCCGCTGCCCCCGCTGCTGCTGCACCCACTGGGTTTTGCTGATGGTGATGGCGCGGCCAGTCTGCAGCTCGCCCACCAGCAGCTTGAGAGGAGCAACCACCTTGCCAGCCTGGTCGGGCGTGACCCCCACGTCGGCGAGCGCCTTGCAGATGTCCTGCTCGCTGGCGCCCGCGGGGATCTCGAGGAGGTCCTCCTTGATGGGGCTATCGGGGCAGCTGCGCTTGCGGTTGTCGGCGCTGCCAGCCCGCTCCTTGGCTGCGCGGGACTGCTCCGCCCTGGCCTTCTGCTGGAGGCGCTCGGCGCGATGCTTGGCCCGCTCTTCTTCCTGTGCCCTCTGCTCCTTGGCGTGGGCGACGGCGGCGACAAGCTGATCCCGCTTGTCGCTCCCGTCGTCGCCGAGGCAGCGCTCCGCCTGCTCCAGGAAGGCGAGCGCTGCCGCCCATCCCTTCCCTGGGGCGGGGACGGACAGCTCCTTGATCTTGTTGTCCAGGGTCTCGAGCTTGCTGTCGAACTTGCCCAGCTTGCTCTTCTCGTCGGCAAGCTTCTCGTCGAGCGCGTCCCTCTGCTCTTGGAGCGCTTCGATCCTCTGCTGGCACTTGTTCTTCTGCTCCGCGACCCTGTTCCTGTCTCGCACCACTCTGCATTCGGCGAAGCAGCGCGGCACTCCCGTCTCCAATGATGCCTGCTCGGCGGCGAGCTTGTCCTCGAGCTGTGCCACCTGCGGCTGCAGTAATTCCTCCAGGAACGGGTCCTCGGCGAGTTTCCTGAGCTCGGCCAGCTTGGCACGGTAGTGCTGCACCTTGGCGAGCTTCTCGTCGTGGCATTTGTCCTCTGAGGCATCTCCTGCCGCCGCGCTGGAAGATCCTGCGGCTGCTGCTGTCGGGCGTGCACCCCAGCACTTCCAGCAGTACTTGTACTTGGCTCCATTCTTGACGTTGCACGGCACGCACCGCCACGTCGTGTTGCTGCTGCCACTGCTCTTGCTGGCAACCATCCGTTGGCTCCGACACTCGTGGCCACTCTGAAGTCTAAGTGTCAGTACACTCGGGGCCTCCTGCAGGCGAAAGGGGGCGCGCCCGAGCGCAAAATGGCTGAGGAGGAGGAGGAGGAGGAGGAAGAGGAGGAGGAGGAGGAGGAGGAGGAGGAGGAGCGAGGAGGAGGAGGAGGAGGAGGAGGAGTGAGGAGGAGTGGGGAGCCGCCTGCTCCGAGCTCGCCGCCACTGGGGATGTCTCGTGGCACTCTCTCGGGGGCTCTTTGCGAGAGGGGAAGAAGAACACGGAGCAGCCTCCTCCGAATTCGCCGCCATCTGGGATGGCTTGTAGGTGTCCGACGGGAGCTGGAGCTCTCTGGGGCTCTCCAAAGCCTTCTCAGAGCCTCTTGGGGGTGCCTCTTGAGGCCTCGGAGGGTTTCATGGGGGCCTCTTGGGACCTTCTCGGGGGCCTCTTGGGGGCTCTTGAGCATTTGTGAACCTCTTGGGGGCCACTTGGGCCCTTCCTGAGGCTCTTCGGAGCCTCTTGGGAGCGTCGTTGGAGATTCGTTGGTGCTTCTCTGGGCATCATGGGAACATCTTGAGGCGCCCTTGGGGGTCACGCGCAAGCCTCGGAAGCGCATCGTAAGCGTAAAGGCAAGAACCCCCCCCCCCCAAACAAATACATGCTCGCCAGGTTGTTGAATGTTGGTCTCTCTCGGGCTTCCTCGGTGTCCTGACACCCCTTGGGGCCGCCTGGCAGGCCCGGGAGGGCGGTCCCCGGATTTGCCCAAGATGTCATCGAGGTGGGAGGGTGCTGTGTGTGGGGGGAGGCGCATTTGTTTATACATGTGTAACACACACACATATATAATAAAATAAATGGATAAATATATGTATATATATATATGTGTATATATATATATATATATATATATATATATATATATTCACACACACACACATATATATAATATATATATATATATATATATATATATATATACATGGCCGGGGACCCCGGAAAAGCGGCACACGGTGCCCCCCCCCGCAAACGAATTTCGCCCTCCCCGAGCCTTTGGGGCGCTCCTGCAGAGCGCTTCGTGTCTGTCCTGCGAGTGCGACGCGAAAAAAAAAAAAACACGACGGCCAAAGAGGGCCCCGAGACACCCAAAGATGGGCCCAAGACGCCCAATCTGGGCCCAAAACTGCCCAAGACGCGTCCAAGACGCCCCCAGAGACCTCCAAGAGGCCTCCCAAGAGAGCCCCGAGAGGCTACAATTGTTGATTTTCCGGTGTGTTTTCGATGTTTTTGGCCTTCTCGCTTTTCCCGCTTCCCGACGCTCCACAATGGCCCAAGAGGCTCCCTAGATCGCCCCAGTACTGCCCAAGAGGCCCCCAAGAAGGCCCCAACACGGTCCAGGAGGGCTCCGAAACCGCCCGAAAGGCGCCCAAGACGGCCGAAGAGAGCACCAAGACGGCCCCAAGAGAGACCCAAGAGGGCGCCCCAAAATTCAAGAACTACATTTTCCGCCGCGAGAGGGCCCCGAGAGGCCCAGAGAGAGCCCCACGAGGCCCCAAGAGGCTCCCAAGCGGCCCCAAGGAACCCCCAAGAGGCCCCCAAGAGGCCCCCAAAAGATCCCAGGAACCCCAAAACACCCCCAAGAGGCTTCAAAACTGCCTCCCAGAGGGCCCCGAGAGGCGCACCACGAGATCCCAACACAGCGGTCTCCCCCTCTCATTATCCCTTCTCTTCGTCGTCGCCTTCTTCGTCGTCGTCGTTGTCGTATCAAATGGCAAGGGCGAGGACGAGGAGGAGGGGGACATGGAGGAGGGAACGAACGCGAGGGGAGGGGGATACAGGGGATTGAGCACCTGGACGCGGTGCCCTTGCCTACCTTACCGGAGAGGGCCGGCCAAATCCGAGGAGCCCCTGGGGGATTTCAAAACCTGCGCCGCCTCTTGCACTACCTTCGGGCCCCCCTGGCGGTTTGGGAAAAGCCGTTCCTAATTCGGGGGGGTTCTTCCCCCCCTTGCCGCTTGACTCGCAGAGAGGCCGAGCGGCACCGCGCCGCGCCGCCAGGGATGGGGAGAATGGGCAAAAAAAGAAGCGGAGAGGGGGGAGAGGAAGAAGAGGGGGAACAGGAGGAGGAGGAGGAGGAGGAGGAGGAGCGGGAGGAGGAGGAGGAGGAAAGGAAAGGAAAGGAAAGGAAAGGAAAGGAAAGGAAAAGAGGAAGGAGGAAGAGGAGATAACGGAAAGTAGTCTAATCCGCTTCGCCAGAGATATGCTCGCAACTCCGACCTCAGAAGCGCCTTGCTTCGCATCGGTCTAGCCGTTTTCGCTTGAGACATCATCGCAGCTCTGGGGCCCGAGACACTCTCAGTTGAGGTGTTCCAGCCACTGTCGCCTGCGCAAGTCTCACTTCGGAGGTGCCTTGCACCATGGTGGTTCGGCCACTTTCGCGTGCGACTTCTCGCAACTCTAAGTTCAAGGATGCCCTGAGCAGAAGTGTTCAGACCACTCCTCGCTTGACACTTCCTCGCACGGCTGACTTCGGATATGCCCTCCCCTGAGCGGAGGTGTTCAGGCCGTTTTCACCCGGGACGTCCTCGCAACACGGACCTCGGCGACGCATTGTCCCATGGTAGTATGACCACGTTTGCCTGATACCCTCGCGCCATTTAGTGGCGCGATGATATGAGCAACTGGTCAGGCCACTACCGCCTGATATACGCATGTGTATGCGCACACATAGTTCCACTGACCATTTGCATATACATGTACATATACATACACACGTATCTATACATGTACATATGTACTATGCATTCATAGACGCATGTGTGTGCGCATGTACGCACGCTCGCACTCCGCTAGCGTGCGAATTCCAAAGAACCCAAGGTGCATGGCACGCAGCGCCAATGCAGTCTTGTATATATATATATATATATATATATACATACATACATATATGTATGTGTATATATATATATAAGGCTGCATTGGCGCTTCGCGCCATGCACCTTGTTCCTTGAAGCTTTGGAATGGTTGGCCCGTGGTGCCATCCTTTTTTCAATTTTAGCCGCGGTCCGCTGGTTCGTACTTCGGAGAAGCGCAGGAAGAGCAGAAAGGGGGGCAATCAACCTGGGACGGGCCAAAACTGCGAGTTGAAGGCCGCGGGCGCATGGAATGGCGCATATGAGTGGGGGCCGCGCGGGAAACAGCAGGAATCCCGGGTTCGCAACCGAATTTGCGGAAAATTGGTTGCGAACCTGGGATTATGAGCATAATGCTGCTATTCTTAAGGGAATATCAGATGAAGGGGGCGCGGGGCGGCGGAGTGGTGCGATTTCGAGGGCGGCGGGTTTGACGGGCAAGGTGTTGGTCGGCTTGGCTCTTCTGAGCCGTCGGGACCCCCTTTTGAGGGCCTCTGGGCAGCCTTGGGGCGCTGAAGCCCTTCGAGTGGGTTCGCGGGGCCTTGGGCCCTTTTGGGGCGGGAGGCTCGTATTTTCAGTTATCTGGTCCTCCCTGGGGCCGTTCTTTGGGCCGTCTCGGAGCGTTCGTGGGCCGTCTTGGACCGTCTTGGGGCGCGTCTTGGACCGTCTTGGAGCTTTTCAGGACGCTCTGGGAGCCCCTTGGGCCGTTGTGGAGCGGTTTTGGGGGCTTCTTGGGCGGTCTTGGAACGTGGGAAACCCGAAAAAGCGAGGACGCTGAAAACATTGAAAAACTAATGGACAAAAAAACATGTTTGAATGTTTTTGGAGCCTCACCGAAATGTCTTAGGGGGCCTCCCGAGACCCTTTGGAACTCTCTTGGGGCTTCCTTGGACTCTTTCGGGGCGGGAGGCTCGTATTTTCAGTTCGTTGTCCCCCCTTGGGGCTCCTCTTTGGGCCGTCTTGGAACGTTCGTGGGCCATCTCGGACGCGTCTTGGGCCGTCTTGGGGCTTTCTCAGAGCGCTCTGGGAGCCTCTTGGGCCGTTGTGGGGCGGTTTTGGGAGCTTCTTGGGCGGTCTTGGAGCGTCGGACACCCGAAAAAGCGAGGACGCTGAACACATTGAAAAACCAAAAGGGAAATAACAATTTGGGATGTTTTTGGAGCCTCACCGGAGCTACTTAGGGGGCTTCCCGAGGCCCTGTGGAGCTCTCTTGGGGCCTCCTTGGGCCTTCTCGGGGCGGGAAGCTCGTATTTTCAGTTCGTGGTCCCCCCTGGGGCCCTTTTTGGGCCGTCTTGGAGCGTTCGTGGGCCATCTCGGGCGCGTCTTGGACCGTCTTGGGGCGCTCTGAGCGCGCTCTGGGAGCTTCTTGGGCCGTCTTGGAGCGGTTTTGGGAGCTTCTTGGGCGGTCCGGGAGCGTCGGAAACCCGAAAAAGCGAGGACGCTAAAAACATTGAAAAACCAATGGAAATTCAATGATTTTGTTCTCTCGGGCCCCCTTTGAGAACTATCTTGGGGCTCTCGCGGAGGGTCTTCAAAGCTACCCGGGTGCTATCCTGGACTGTCTTGGGTGTCTCTGTGGGCTTGCGCCGACCGATTTGGCACTGCCGCCCGCCTGCGTGCACGCCTTGGAAAGGATTTTCGGCCGCCCCCGTGGCACGGATCCGGGGGGTCCCGTTTCGGGGGGGGGGGTCCGCACCCCCGGAATTATAAAAATATAGAGAAAGGAATATGCTCACTCCCAACACGCACGAAATGTCCCAAGTTCCAGAAACCGGGACTGCAGTGCAATTCGCTGAGAGTCTAGACGGCGCTCGCCTCCCGAGGCGTAGCACCACCGGCGCCGCAGAAAGCGCGTGGCCCTGAGCGGGTGCAGTGCTCGGGGCAGCACGCACACGACCCAGCTCACCGGGGGGGGCGTCCCCGTCCCCGAGCTTTCTCCTGGGGCCCAAGGCGTCGCCCCCGACCCCTTGCGGGTGAGATGGGCGGTGCAACCAGGATGGGAAGGGGGGGGCGAGGAGGTGGCGTGAGGGCAGCAGCAGAGCTTGGAGGAGGGGGAGGAGGTGGCCCACTATGGTCTCCTGGTGCGCGTG